AGGAAGGAAGGAAGGAAGGAAGGAAGGAAGGAAGGAAGGAAGGAAGGAAGGAAGGTCTAAGATTCATTGGCTAGTGGAATCATCTGCCAGAGATGCTCAGAATGGACTCAGCTTCTAAGGCAGCATTTCAGTATCCTTCCCAGTGAGCTCTGGGCATGGGGAGGGCAGTAGCCCAACCCATCCAGAGGGCACCTGCTTGGGGAAGGCTGGCATTCAACTGTCCACATGCCAGCCGGTGCCCAGAAAGGCCAGCTGTCCCTCCGCCAGCTCTGCCTCCCCCCCCACCTCACCTGTGGTTCCTCCCTCCAATCCTGGGCCGTAGGCTGTGACGAGCCCGGGGTCGCCCGCTTGGCTCTGCTCGCCCACGCGGATGTTGAAAGGGCTGCCGGGAACATGCCGCCCGTTGAACCGGACATCGATGGAGTGGACCCCGTTCTCATGGGGGATGAAGCGAATGGCATATTTGTCTGGGGGAGAAATCCAACAGGTCAGGCTCAGCAAAGCAAGTCAGCGAGGGTGGTCTCGGGAAAGAAGCCCCTCCACCTTCAGCCTCCAAAGATCTCCCAGTGTGGCCTCCTCAAATCACCCTGAGCTCCTCCGACATCTTTTTGACACTCCCTCCCCCATTCCGGGCGGGCACCTGGCATTGCCCAGTGGCTGGGATGGAGACTTGGGCTCTTTCAGGTGCCTCCAGCCCAAATCTCATGTTGGCCACACGGTTGCCTTAGACCGGTCCTCCTCTGGCTGTGGGCTCACTTGCCAGGTGATCGTGAGAATTAAGCAGCCCACGAAACGGCCCCAGAAAGGGTCAAAATGATTGCTTCGTGCCTGGGACACAACTGAAGGCGATGGAAAGGCAACGCATCTGGGCGGCCACATCTCCGACAGATGTGTTGTCCACTGCAGAAGAAAAGCTGCTACTCACCGCTGTCCAGTTCGGAGACGTAGCATTCCTCCACCAGCCCAGAGGGTGTGTGAACCTTGGCATCGATCACGCCGCGTGCCCCATTGAGTTGCACCGCGAAAGAAGCGGGCTGGTTCACCTTCAGGCCGGTCTCCTGCAGAGTCCCAGAACAGAGCCGAGTCAGGTTCACACCACCGCATACCTAACCCCAAACTTCCCACCCCCGTGCAGGCCTAGTCTCGCGTGCCCAACAAGTGCTAGCCCGTGGAGGGGCTCACGGGCTCTTGGATCGATTAGGACGGTGTTTATCAAACTTGGCCGCTCTAAGATGCGTGGACTTCACACATCTGAACGTGGCCAAGTTTGGAAAACACCGGAAGAGGAAGTATTCCATGCCAGCTAGGAAGTCTGGAAGCCATCAACCCCCACCCCCCAATATGGGAAGAATTCAATCAGAGAAAGCTCCTGTGGAGTTCCTACAGAAATTATTTACACACACTAGTGATTCTTCTTGTTCTAACTAAGTTTGCCTCCTCTATGACTCTGTCCTTATTTTGTTAAATGAACATTTCATTCATTCATTCATTCAATTTATATGCTGCCCATCTCCCCCAGAGGGTGACTCTGGGTGGCTTACAATTAAAATCCAAAACAGTAAAAACGATAAAAATATAAATATCCATATTAAAATAACTAGTAACAATTCTACAGTACAATTCAAGATGATCAGGGGCGGGGGGAGCAGTATCGATTATCCCACCAGCCAATTCCAACAAGGGGAGCCCCCATCAGGCCCCCAGGCCATCTGGCATAGCCAAGTTTTCATACTTTTAACTTGCTTTTCCTTTCAAACAGCAGTGGTAGGGAAGTAACCCCCCCCCCCCCTGCAATTTCCCTGGTGGCTAATAGCAGCCCCAGAGAAGTGACATCACTGACTTTGCAGGGGGAGCAGGGAAAAGACCGTCTCCCTATATGCCCATAGACCCTGCTTGGACTGGAGGGTCAATCTACTTTGGGGAAGATGGAACCAAGATGGAAAGATAGGAAGCATTTCACACCATGGGAAGTTGGATCCCTCTGTCTTTGGGGAACAAGAGAAAACTGAGGGGCCCCCACAGCTGGCAGCTGCTCTTGAAGGAGGATTGTCCTCAATTCCCCCAAATGGATAATGTCCCAATGGGTTAGAGTCCATGTTTCTCAACTTCAGCAGCTTGAAGATGAGTGGACTTCAACTCCCAGAATCCCCCAGCCAGCCATGGCTGGCTGGGGAATTCTGGGAGTTGAAGTCCACTCATCTTCAAGCTGCAAAGGTTGAGGAACACTGGGTTAAACTCTAGTTCCCATTCTGATTGGGGAGATGGACTTGTAGTCCTACACATCAGGAGGGCACCCAGTTGAGCAAAAGGAAATCATTCTGGCAAAGGGCATCTCTTCACGGGAGGGGGTCGCATCGATCTTTCTTCCCATCACCAGCCCCCCTCCTTCCAGCCCCCCGTTCTTCTCTGCACCCACGCGGACTGGCGGATACCTGGAGGCTGGTGACGGTCAGGCGCCGGGCATCATCTGAGAGTGAAGCCACAGGAACCACAAACGGGCTGTCAGGGATGTGTTCATCGTTGAATTTGATGGAGACCTCGTAGTCGCCTGGCAGAGGAGAGTGGGGAGGAAGATGGGTTCTGAGGTCAGGCGTGCCCACCCAGTAGCATGAATCTCAGCCATGCCGTGGAGGATCCACGCGGGGTATTTTATGCTGGAGAGCCCTTGGAGAGGGTTTGGATACACTGGCCGCTTGGGAACCAGCCCTCCGTTTGTTCCCAGGCACAATTCCAGGTCTCTTTTCCTCCCTTTCCAGACCCCAAAAGTGTTCTTGGTCCAAGGCATTTAAAATTCTGTTTTTTTCCTGCATGAAGCTACTTGCCAACTAAGATTTGTTAGTCCCCTGCCATCCCTAATAGGGACTGTCCGTCCTGGCACCTGGGCAGTGGAGTTCAGACATGTTGGGAATTGGGTGGCATGTACATTTAAGATGATAACAACAGCAACAACGACAACTCCTTGCTGGAGAGAGACTTGTCCAAGGCCTTCACAGCTAGGTTTCTGAGGCTGGACCAAGACTATCCCACTTTTCTGGGCTTTTAAGCAACAGCCGGACTTTAAAATTATTTTTAAATCATTTTAAATTATTGTTGGTTTTGCCTAACTGACGTCACGCCCCTGGCGTGACCCAAATGAACCCAAATCCTACCTGGTTCTTGGACAATGTACGACACTCCACAGGAACCATCTTTCCGGTCTTCAAATGCAATTTCTGCCTTGCTTGGCCCCTCAACGGCGATAGAGAGGCCCCCAGCGCCGGCTTCCCGGGTCCAGATGCTGAATTCAGCTGGGAAGAGAGGAGGGGGTCAGCAGAGATCGCTGGCCAAGGGCAGTGCTCTGTGGCCGAGGAGGCTGGGAGTGGCAGTCCTACCTGGCTGGTGGGCACCAGGGGTGGGGAAGGGAGGGCAGAGAGAAAGTTGGCAAGGCTAGAAGCGCCCACGTAACACAGTAAGGTCAGGAAATTAAGAACAATGTTGACGGGTGCAGAATTGCAATTTCCACTCCAACGTCTGCTGGGGCATCTGCAGCAGGAGGGAGGGGTGTCCAAAAAGTCACCATGGGGGTCATGACCACCTGATCAAAGTTTCACCCCTTTTTGCACATGCACTGCACACCCGACGTACATTTTAAAAAAAGGGGGCTTCAGTTGCCCAGTTGCAGGTGCCCCGGGAGATGCCCCGGTTTCTGCTGTGCTTCTTGGAAAGAGATCCCAGACTGTTGAGGTCCCAGGACCAAAGACCGGGTGGCCAAGAGGGATCCGCCCAGTGACGAGGCAGAGGCCTCCCGGGTCCTTATATGGTGCCCTTCCGCCCGAGAGCCCGCTGGTGGGTCCTTCTGAGAGAGGTGGGCAGGGAGGGGTTCCAGGCCAGCAGGGCCTTTTCTGAGCAAAACTCCCCTCTGGGCATGCCCCCAATCATCTAGCTGCAAGGATGGGAGATTTAGAGGGGGTTCAGACCTCTCCCACCTGGAGGCCCCCTGCATGAAAGACCTCTGTCCAGAAGCCCCATTAATGGTCCTTCAAAGGGCAGGAGGGAGGGAGGGAAGAGGAAGGCAGGCAGGCAGGCAATTCCCCAATCCCCCCACCCCAATTCCATCCACAGTGGTACTGACCCTAACCAAACTGCTGTGGATTTTATATTCTTATCTCCCAAACCTGTTAATTAACTCATTCTAATAATTAACCCTTTTAATTTGGCAGCCTCCAAGCCAACTTTAGGGCAGATGGAACTTGGAAAATGAGTGCTCCCAGTTTGCCTGCGGCCCCTCTGTTCATGTCAGCGAGGCATGTGGGGGAGGGCCCCAAAGTCAAGACGGGGTTTGCCGCTGCACAGTAGAAGCCTGCCACTTTCCCACGTGCCACGCGTGTTAAAAAGAGGCAGAGCTCCCATTGTGCATCTTGACTTTTTGGACCCCCTCGGTGGGACCCGGTGGGGAGTGCCTCCCGGAAGAGGGACCGACCGGGTTGGCCTCGGGGTTCTAAGCGTTCCCAGACCCAGGTTCAATGGTCAAGCCCTGCAAGTCTAAAGACCCACACGGGTGTGCCAGCGCACGACTGACTGTGCCGCCCTTACCTGGCACGCTGGCCACACCCCTCTCCAGGCCAGGCCCTCCTGCTCGCACTTTATGGGACCCCCCTTCGCCCAGTGGCCCCACGGTGAACTGGAAGGGGCTGCCGGGCACGTGCTGGCCACGGTACTTGACGTTCACGGTGTGGGGACCCATCTCCTGGGGCACAAAGCGGACTGAGTAGGCGCTGTCTTCTCCCTCGATGATTTCTGCCTCGGCCATCTTCCCTGATGGACTGGTCACTTGGGCGGTCATGGCTTGGAGGCCAGCCTCTCCTGCAGGGTGAAAAGAGCACAGGCCAGCAGGAAGGTCAGCCGGTGGACAGTGAAGCCGGGCAGACCATCCGGCCTGCTTCAGAAGCCCCCCTTCCTCCCCAGCCACCAATCCAGGGCTTCAGAAAAGTGGACATGCTGTTCTTTCAAGCAAACAAAACATGCTTCTAGTCCTCAGGAACGCCGAGACCGGCTTGGTAGCATCTGCGGAAGACTTCAGAGCCAGTCTGGTTCTTCAACGTCGGGGAGCTTCTGCTCCATCCTTGGACCTCCAGCTTCGCCATACCTGACCTTAACTCCTTGTTGAAATGCACATTTACCCACAAGAGCAGAAGCACAGACGGGTATGAATTAAATCTCTGCAAACGTCATGCATTAGTGCAATTCACTCCCAGACGAGAAGTGGACTTTCTTCCTCGTCGAAGATCATCGGTTTTAAGCTATTAGTAAATGTGACATTGTTGAGCCGGGGTAGAAAACGGCACTCACGCAAAGCAGCATGCCTGGAAGATCCACCAACTTCTCTTTCTCATTTTTATTTGCTCGTTTTGATTTGTTAAGTTTACCGCTTGCCTCTCCTTCATAGTAGTCTGCGTGGTGCTCACCCCCATTTTATCCTCGCAGAACCAGCCTAGATGGGGTTTCCACGGCTGAGGGAGGACGTGAACCTACTTTCCAAACAAATGTCTCTCCTCCCTGCCTTTAAATCAAATTTCTTGGCTTCCTAGAAACCTCTCGTGATCAGCAGTTGGAGAACATGACCTAATCGCTGGACTTGCCAGATAATTGGGAAACAAGGGGAGTCGTGGCATTGTTTAATCTGCTTCTAATTAACCCCTAATTAGCTCCCTTTGTCGGTGGATTCAGTAGGAGCTCTCTAAAAGGAGAGTGGGATAAAGATACTGTTTTAAAAAATCTTCCATCCCGCCCCAAACAGTTCGGCAACTGCTTGGATCCAGGGGGAGTTGATAGGAAGGAATAGCATCCTTTTCAGCACTTTTTAAAGTATGTATTTAAATATATCTTTTTAAGCCAGTGTTTCTCAACCTTGGCCACTTGAAGATGGGTGGACTTCAACTCCCAGAATCCCCCAGCCAGCTATGCTTCAAGTGGCCAAGGTTGAGAAACACTGTTTTAAGCAGTTGTAAAATTTCGGCTTGGCCAACACGTTGAGCAGGATGGATTTGGAACCACTTTCAAGCTCTGAATGGACAGAAGAGACCACTGAGAGTGGGGAGAGGCCCCTCCTTGTCATCCTTCTCATGTGCTGGTGACCCACCTCTCAAATTGCCCCCTGGGGGAAAAACCACCATGCAGATTCAGCCTCCCTTCCTCCCCAGGTGGGGCTCGCATGCAACTCCACACTCCACGTGTCCCCCATGCTCCCTGCTGGTGAGAGGCAGACGCCCACAAGCGCACGGCACACGAGCAAGGCCCACGCACCCTCCTGGGTCCGGGCGATGCTGCCGAAGGAGCCGAGGCTCTCGCGGCCGAGGAAGTCCCCAAAGACGTTGTGGAAGGGGTCCCCGCCCACTTGCGTGGACTCTTCCACCCGCACCTCGCGCTTGGTCTCCCCGCCGCGCGTCTTGCTGATCTCCGTCCGCTCGGTGCGCGTGTACGTGTGGCTGCTGCGTGTGAAAGTGCGGGTCAGCCGCTCCTGGGCTGAGACCATCTGGAACCAATTCCCTGTGCCGGGGCGGCGAGGAAGGAGGAGGAGGAGGAGGAGGAGGTGGAGAAGTCAGTTAGAAAGAGGGCAAACGGGGAGGGGGCTGCACATAGTTCTTTGAGGGCAACCCTGGGCTGGCAGTTCTTCGAAGGATTCACTCCACGCTGGAGAATCCATAAAGCCTAGCCATGCTCTGGAGAACCTCACTTTCCAGCCCTCCCAGATGCAGAAATGGCAACAGAGGGGATGCGGGGTGACCCTTTCTGCGACCAACCACTGGGCACATTGGGGGCGTTCTCCACAGTGAGCGTTGCAAAAACCAAAGAGCAAAGGACAGAGAAAGTGGGTCATCTCCCAAGGCCAGGCTGAAACCAAACCAGTGGGGTTCCTAAATCTGGAAATGTTTTCAGTGAACAAACAACATTGGCATTTTTCAATTCCTCCTAAAATCTGAATCCGGTAAGCTGCGTTTCAGACGGAGAGAGCGATTACGGGACAAGGAGGGGCGAAGAAGTGAGTTGAGGGACTTTTTTTGATGTCACTTGAAAAACTTCTCCCACTTTCTCCCTCCCTCCAAAAAAATCAGCATGCCAGATGTGAAATTTCATTGAGGGCAGAAAGGCAGCGTTTCAGCCCCAGTCTGGGCCTTGCCACCAAGAAAACGAAAAGCGGGGTGAGGAGGTACAGAAACGGAAAAGGGGAGAAAGGGAAAAGGGGAGAAAGAGTCCAGGGACAGGGCCTTCATGCCCACCCCCCCGTTTCTTCTCGGCGGTCTTTGGATGCCCGGCCCCACCAGCTCCCCTACCTGGGATCTTGAGGTTCAGGTCACAGGTGCTGCCGACGGTGGCGATGGAGGGAGCCTGGCGCCGGCGAGTGATGCTCTCCTTCATCCGTCCCTCCCCAGTCACTTTCACAGTGAAAGGGCTTCCTGAAAGGGGCACCGAGACTAGTGGTTATCTCAGTAGCCCTGGCACCTGCAGGATGCAGGATTCAACCAAAGCACAGCTGGAGCAGAGCAAAAGACCCTTTGATGCCTACTCCCCAGAAGCTGGGAGGGTAGGCAATGTTTTTGAGGCTGGGGGCCACGTGGCATCTGTGTCAGTGGCGAACATTATAGGTCATCCTCATTTAGCGACCACAATGGGGACCGGCCACTCGGTCATTAAGCAAAGCGGTGACTAGGTGAACCCGCAACTGTGCTTACAATCTGACCAGCTTTCCTTGGCTTCACAGACCTGCAAAGGTCGTGTGAGGATCGGTCGATGACTTTTCATCACCGTCATAACTGCGAATGGTCGCTAAATGAGGACAACCTGAATCTTCAGTGGCTGTAGGGCCACCAAGGGAAGCCTGATGATGACATCAAGCAAGTGGGGAGGGCCATTTCTTTCAGATTTATTGCTGTGGATATTTTGGTGAACTTCTAGTTTTGTTTGCATTTTCAAGGCACACTAAGCCTGCACAAAAACTCACCAGGATACGCAGTGCTTGGGAATCAATCCAGAAAGGTTCTTTGGTCTGCACAGGAGCACAAACATAGCCCCTGTCCACAACTTTTTTAAGCAGTTGCGCCTTTTCCCAGGAAAAGAATTGTAGCTGGCGCGGCATAGCCACTGCTCCGTGCTCCAGAGCACCGTTTCGGAATCGAATCCAAAGCACAGCCCAATTGTTAGTTTAGTTTGTCACAGAAACTGGTGAGAAGTCCACACATCTTAAAGTGGCCAAGGTTGAGAAACACTGGTCTAATTCGCACTCAGCTTTCAACCTGAGGGCTAGAATCTTGAAATCCACGCAGAGATTTGGCAAGGAGAGGCATACCTGGCACGTGCTTATCAGCAAACTTAATGTTGATGATGTAATTTCCCGGCTCAGTGGGGGTGTAGGTGACTTTACACGTGCCGTCCTCCATGTCTTCACAATTGATGTCCACTTTGCTGGGGCCTTCGATGGAGAGGCCTAGACCCCCGTAGCCTGTAAGGGAAACAGCAGGACAGTTCACTCTCCCTGCCAGCTTTGAACATCCTCTTTGCCAAGCACCGGCTCAGAGAAGCTGAAGCCATGCCCGCGTACCCTGAGTCAGCTAAGGGCCCGTGCCTCCATCTGCCTTGCACATGAAGCTTGGTTCGCGGCCACCCACGTCGTGCTCTTCCTGGCTTTACGCAGATGCAACGCACCAGCTGAGTTTATGATTCAGGGCGTTGCATGAAACCAGGAAAATTTAAAGGATTTTAAAAAGATTGTGCAAATGCCACCCCTATTTAGGCCTCGCTGTATCAGCAGGAGACGAGCAAACCTGACCAGCTGCATTTCGTCGCTCTGCATGCGGTGCCGTTCCCACCAAATCGGAGGGTTGGTGGAAGACGTTTGCAACCCTACGAGATTTGCCACAACCGCCCTTTGCTCACCTGCAGTGCGGGTGTCAACGATGAATTCGGACATCTCGAAGGTGCGCCCTTCCATGAGCCCCTTGCCGGAGACTTTGACCTTGCTGGCGTCGCCAATCTCTGACTGTCCCACCATGATCTTAAAGGGGCTGTTGGTGACATGCTTCCCACTCTTCTTCACGCTCACCACGTGCTCGCCCACCTCCTTGGGGGTGAAGGAGATCCCTAGGGAGAGGCAGAGGGGGAATGAGGTGGGGCAGGACCAGAGCCAAGGGGGTGCGGGTCATTCAAAGGGACCTCAGTAGGTTTAAATGCAGCATGAAACCCAACAGGTTGACATTCCACGGGACAACATTATCTAGGTCTGCGCAGGATACTGGGTGGCTACAGGACCGGGGGGATCTAACTTGGCAGCAGTGAGCAGAAAGGGATCTAGCTGTACTTGTGGATTACCAGTGGAGCATAAGCAGGCCATGTGATGCAGCAGCTAAAAAGGCCAATACGATCTTAGGTTGGCTCAAACAAAGCACTGCATTCAGATCAGGGGAGACCACTGTACTTTGGCTGGATAGACAATATGTGACATGCAGTAACCAGGTCCGGGCCCCAAATTTAAAAGTGACGCGGAGAAGCTGGAGTGGGTTCAGGGGAGAGCGACCCGATCTGGAAACTAAACTCTGTGAGGCATAAACCTCCAGGCTGAAACTGAAGGAAAGGAGATTCAGGCTAAGATATTCTATCAGGATATTTCATTTCAAACATAACATAAGCTACCTGTTTTCCCCCCAAAAGGAAAAAAAAGGGCTGCATTATGGGACACCTCGACACGTAGTGATCCAGCTTCAGGATGCTAAAAGAAGCCTTCTCTGCAGGGGTGTCCAGGAGGGGGTGGAGCTTCCATTGCGACATCACACCCTACGCGGATGACCCTGATTCCGTCACCCTTGTCTCGCCTGCTAGGGAATAGCCATGGGCCATTTAAAAAGATGCTGCTGTGTGTACGAAATATCTAGAGCAGTGTTTCTCCACCTTGGCCACTTGAAGACGTGTGGACTAGACCAAGGAAGGACTGAAGATGACCTGGACAAAGGTCTGCAGGTGCGGCCGCCTAGGCAAAGGGGCCTAAAGCAACTTTTAAGCCCTGAATGTCCAGATAATGTTTGGACGCAACTCAGACAGACACCTCCCTAATTCGCTGAACTATAAGGAGG